GAAAGGAGAGAGGAGAACTCTATCCTTTCTCTCTCTCTCTCTCTCTCTCTCTCTCTCTCTCTCTCTCTCTCTCTCTCTCTCTCTCTCTCTCTCTCTCTCTCAATTCTCTCTCTCTCACTTCTCTCTCTCTCTCCTCTCTCACTTCTCTCTCTCTCTCCTCTCTCACTTCTCTCTCTCCTCTCTCACTTCTCTCTCTCTCTCCTCTCTCACTTCTCTCTCTCTCTCCTCTCTCACTTCTCTCTCTCTCTCCTCTCTCACTTCTCTCTCTCTCTCCTCTCTCACTTCTCTCTCTCTCTCCTCTCTCAACTCTCTCTCTCTCTCCTCTCTCACTTCTCTCTCTCTCTCCTCTCTCACTTCTCTCTCTCTCTCCTCTCTCACTTCTCTCTCTCTCTCCTCTCTCAATTCTCTCTCTCTCTCCTCTCTCAATTCTCTCTCTCTCTCCCCTCTCTCAATTCTCTCTCTCTCTCCCTCTCTCAATTCTCTCTCTCTCTCTCCTCTCTCACTTCTCTCTCTCTCTCTCTCTCCTCTCTCAATTCTCTCTTACTCTCCCCTCTCTCAATTCTCTCTCTCTCTCTCCTCTTTCAATTCTCTCTCTCTCTCTCTCCTCTCTCAATTCTCTCTCTCTCTCTCTCCTCTCTCAATTCTCTCTCTCTCTCTCTCTCTCCTCTCTCAATTCTCTCTCTCTCTCTCCTCTCTCAATTCTCTCTCTCTCTCTCCTCTCTCAATTCTCTCTCTCTCTCCTCTCTCAATTCTCTCTCTCTCTCTCTCCTTTCTCAATTCTCTCTCTCTCTGAATTCTCTCTCTCTCCTCTCTCAATCCTCTCTCTCTCTCTCCTCTCTCAATTCTCTCTCTCTCTCTCTCTCTCCTCTCTCAATTCTCTCTCTCTCTCTCCTCTCTCAATTCTCTCTCTCTCTCTCCTCTCTCAATTCTCTCTCTCTCTCTCCTCTCTCAATTCTCTCTCTCTCTCTCAATTCTCTCAGTCTCTCTCCTCTCTCAATTCATTCTCTCTCTCTCTCTCTCTCTCTCTCTCTCTCTCTCTCTCTCTCTCTCTCTCTCTCTCTCTCTCTCTCTCTCTCTCTCTCTCTCTCTTCTACAGAGTAATTATACATATAGTGAATTTCATAATGAGAAAACTATAACGTCAAAATAACTGTCATGTCTTTTCCATTTGACAGTCTTATGCCCCATTAAAATTAGGCAATTTCATTTAAAGTACTGATATGGGATTAAAAGTGTAGAAGTATATATTCCCTGCATTCCAGTAAGACAAGGTATTTGAGAATAATTTTTCATAAAACTTTGTGTTTTAAAATACAATTATCATATATCATATAAAACATACATATGATGGTAGAACTTTATGAAAGTTCTACTTTATGCAAGAATACATTATTTAACCCAATCAGCACGGATGGCAAGAGTACATGCCATGCCCATCGTAATACTGTTTACAATTAAGCCTAGTGACGACAAAATATATGCCATACCACTATGAGCAGAGGCTATATATTGCTTCCTACAATCGGACACCACTAGACACCACAACTAAGTACATGTGGATTTGGACAATATATACCCAATATAAAGGTCTGTAGTTGAACACCTCTGCAGGTGTCTCCTAATGACTGCCATTTATTTTCCTCATACATTTTGATAAGATTTTAGAAATTAAGATTATCTATCAAACAAAGTTCTAGAAACATTTCTAAAAATTGATAAATTATTGGAGACTACGTTCAAAGATGCGAGCATTCACATTTTCTATAATAACCGTTCTAACAGCCCTAACTGCAGTAAATGTTTCTTTAGGGGGTAACTAGCCAAACCTTCTAAGACACGGTAGTTTTTCAAACATATGCTTACATAAAGACTTCCTGGTCAAAAAACAGCTTTGCTCTATCTCATAATTACAGCAACAATTTGCTTAAATACTTGTGAATGGCTAAATTTTCTTGGGCCTTCTTTAAATGACATAAAAGCAGTTTACAAAGCTTTTACGAAAGTTTGTAAAATTTCCCTAGCTTCCAGTTTTGTTTTTTTTAATACACTACATTCTTTTTCTGCCTACATATATATATATATTTTACTTGAATTCAATTAACAACTCTCTATATCCCTTCCAATAACACAATACATTTCAGAAGTTAACTGTAAAATCATGTGCGTATTTGCCTGATAAACATCAAAGAAACTATTATAATATCAATATAACAAAAAAACAGCTTCTCAAAATACATGTTATGTAGGCCTATCTCCATTCTCCATTGTGAATTAGCTTACACTTCAATAAAACATTCAACAGCATTTCCCTCCCTAATATAACACTATCAAGGACACTGGAATAATGACATGTAAATAACTACAAATATTCTGCCTGAAATACTAAATAAAACAATAAAATAAAAACCAATCTTAAAATAGTCTCATTCATGATCACTATTTAACAGAATCTATACCGATTTTCCTACACTATTATATTCCTCATTCTCGAACAAAAGGA